TTATATTATATATTATATTGTATTATATTATATTATATTGTATTATATTATATTATATTATTTTATTTTATATTGTATTATATTATAGTATTGTATAGTATAGTAAAGTATAGTATAGTATAGTATAGTATAGTACAACATATTCAACTATCTTATAGTATCTTAAGGTAGCTTATATTACAATTTCTATTGTGGTGTATTTTTCTTTTTTCGAGGCCAAGAGTCCGTAAACGCGCCTCATGCAAAAAGATGAGTTCAAAACGGCTGAAGAGCCGGACAGTCGGAAGGCCAGGTGACATAGGTGACATCGCCGTCCAAGCGCAGCGAGGGAGAGGACAAGAGAAATCAACTGAAGGCGCAAGTCCAACCACCTCAGGTGCCGACGCAGAGTGCGCAGGGAGCAGCACGGCGCCGACCAGAAGGGAATTAATCGGCGGGGGCGGGATTGTGACATATGCCCCAGCAAAAGGCAGCCCAACCGGTGGCGGCAACCGGAAGGAGTGCGATCGCCATCCCCCGCCAGGAAGGTTCTTGCAAAGTGCTCATATTATATTACATGATCATAATATATTATACTATATTATATTATATTATACTATATTATGTTATATTATATCTTGTCATATTGTATTATATCATATTATATTATATTATGTTATATTATATTATATTATATTATATTATATTAGTATATCATGTTATATTATATTATATTATATTATATTATATTATATTATATTATACTTTACTATATTATATTATACTTTACTATATTATATTATATTATATTATATTATATTATATTATATTATATCATTATATCGTCTTGTCTTGTTGTATCTTATCTTGTCTTACATTATCTTAACTTGTCTTATCTTGTCTTATCTTCTAGCGCCTTATTTTATATTATATTATACTACGTTATATTGCATAGTGCTGTATTATAAGAAATTATATGATATCATATTATATTATAGTATATCATTTCATGGTTTATTATGCTATATTATGTTATAATATACTGTACTATATCATATTTTATTCTATTTTATTATATCATACTATATCATATCACATCGCATCACAACGTACTTTATTGTAAGATACTAAGGTGTATAATGTAATGTTATATTAAATATTATGTGTTCTATTTTATTATATTTAACTATATTGTATTATATTATATTATATTATACCATATTATCTTACATTACATTATGTTATATAATAATATTCAATTACATATTTCATTATTTATTGTATGTTATTTTACTGTTTTTCATTCTTTTATTACATATCACATTATATTATTACATATTGTATTACATTATATTGTGTAGATGTTATATTATTTTATATTTTATGTTTATTTTAAAGTGTTCATGCTATATCATATTATAGTGTATTGTCTTATTTTATCGTATCTTATTTTGTAGCATTTTATCTTTCACTATCTTAGACTATCTGTTATTTTCTTATATTGTCCTATCATGTTACAATTTGTTTTGTTGCATTATGTTGCATTACATTATACCATAATAGATGATACCATTTCATATTATATCATATTATGTTATGTTTTATAGATGTTATAAGAAACATTGTGAGTTTGTTTCCTGCGGAAGAGTATCCCCACTGTTGTCCTTGCCTTCTAGTCAAAAGAAGTTTCAAGTTCCGGACTGCTACACTATGTGCGCAAGTGTACCGCCGGACGTCTTGCAGTCCAAGAGAAGCGTGCAACACGTAGGGAGTTGAAGCTCTGCCCGAGGTGGTTGCGAACTGGCCAAAGGACGCCCTTCCCAACTACGACGTGATTTTGTGCTCGGATGTCCTTTACTGGTCTGACGTGGTTGCAGATCTCGCTGCAGTTCTTGGGCGCTTGCTCCAGAATGGAAAGACGACCCTCCTTTGGTGTTGGGTCCGGAGTTTCTCGTCTTGATGATGGGAAGCTTCGTTTCGTGAACGGAAAGCCCAAGGGACTGTCGATGTCGAGGGTCGTTCTAAAGGTCCGAGGTCTGTGGAATTTGGACTCACTGCAGCATCAGGCTGTGAAATCGAATTGCATGTTGTCCGGAATAAACGCATGCCTCTTTGAGACTGTCACCATCTTGCTCCGGGTAGAGCTACATGACGAACAAGTACGTTTTCCGCATGTTGCATCCATGCAAGCAGTGGGATGGCTCGCTAACTGTTCGGGGAGCACTAAGCCACTAAGCCAATCGCGATGGCTTCGCAGAGCGTCACTGGGTCCCTTCGGCTCCGAGCTCCTCAACCAGCTGTCCTAGATCAGACCAGCATGTGCAACAAATTGCGAATAGAAAACCCCAGAATCCAGAAAAAATCCCAAACCTGGAATGGAAGTCTCCCATGCAGTACTTCTCCTTGAGTTCCTGTGAGTCAGGACACGAGAACGTGGCTCGTGAGCTTTGGAGGGCGCTTGCTGCTCAGGCGAGCATTCGTGCTGGCTTTGAAGACCAGAAAGCCAAAGCAGACCACTGGGCACAATAAACCCGAGATGCAAAGCTCCAATACTCGTCAGGGCATCGTCGTGGGCCGTTTGCCTTTGGAGACTGGGCTGCTGCAGTCCGAGGAGACTTCATGGCCTTGCAGTAGCGAATGGCATGCCACATACAAACGAAGCACACCACCGCCTACAGGAGGTTATGTGATAAGCAATAGCAGGCTGCAACATAATCCAATGGTAATGATGCCAGTTGTGGCAACCTGTGCAGAATTACCTGGAGGTTCCAGGTTGGGTACGCCTGGATGAATCTCGGGTGAAGCATACAGAACGACAAAGTGCACCTGTGCCACGCGCCATTTCAAGCCTCGCAGAACGAGCTACCCAAGACTACATCAGGCAACCACACAGTGCAAAGCAACGCAGTGGTCCTCACACAATGCACCAATAGTTCAGCAAGCTCAGTACACCTCACCCGAACGAATTGGCTGACAGAGTGCAGCGGAGGATGGCCCAGCACATCACAGCACATCTCTCCCTGCCTCCTTGTACCATGCAAGTGCCCAGAACTTTTTAGCCGAGTATCGAACACAGACGGGAAGACTGTGACGAACGATTTCTCAAATAGTCGTACCATGTACTATATTGTCTGTTACTGGATCACTGTGTATCGCATGCCAACCAGCATTGTGCTGCACGGCGTTGCAGCTGCCTTGTTCCAAGACGGGCCGCATCACATCACACCAGTTTTGTGTGCTGGCTTATTGATTTCTGGGTTGTCGTTTGGCATGGTCTGACCGTATTCTCTTACCGTTGGCGGCGTAGGATATCGCCATGACAAAGTTGCAGAGCAGAGCATTGGAGGAACAGCATCAGGTGGTCCAAAGGCACGCTCTGAACACAACTAACTAGTGCCGGAAAGCGACTGGGCACGGTCTGGATGGGTTTGGAGAGAGAGGCAAGTCAAGCGAGTGTGTCCTATCATGCTCCGAGCAACTCTCAGCAGCTGCAGCGTCCGGGGAAGATTGTCGAGAATATGTCTCCTGTGCATGCGCACAAGAACTCGACGCTTGCTCAGGTGCTGATCAACCGGAAACCTTGGGGAAGCAAGCATGATACAGCAAGGCAAAGTGGGACTTTCAAGGCTGGCGTACTCGCTTAGTAAATCTCACATCCTGCCCTGAGACCCTTGAACGGTTTTCCCGGCAGCTCTGCCTGGAGGACTTTTGCCATGTGAGCCGCCATGTCGAGGCATTTGTAGGCTGCGCTCGCGGGGGTCAGCTCGACCAGGAGCCATGTGGCGTGCATTGGTGGGACACGGTTTGTTAAGGGGGCATGAGGAGTTGGCACAGTGCTAAAGACTTCTATGATCACTCTGCAGCTATTCTTATGCAAGTGTGGCACGCATGTAAACCTCAAGTGACGTATACATAGAACGGTTCTTACGGATCGCGGCCAGGAAGTCGCCAAAGATGCGATGTGCAACTTCGTCGTTGATGACAACGGGTGTGTGAAGGGCGTGTATTCGCATGCTTGTCCAAACAGATGAGCTGTAAGCAGGATGTAAAATGATGCAATACAGCACTAGCGTCGGCTCGCCAAAGGCGACCGTTTGTATGGGCTCTGCCAGTTTAGATATGTCCACACCCTGACCCGACCTTCATTTGTAGTTGCGTAGTTGCGATGACATCCGTGATCTCACCTTAAAACCCCGCACTGCCGTACTGCCCATTGGGCGCATTCAATTGTATCGACGGGGCTCTACATCGGAGGATGCAGGTGTGACGTGCCTGAATCTTCACATGCCAGGCTTGTCAGTTCTTCGCAAGTGGTCAGAATCCTTCGGACAGGGAGTGTGGACCTGTCACGCGGTCAAAGCGGTGAAATCAATGCCCGACCACAAGACAGAGACGCTGTTGATACGCTGCATGCGAAACAGGTGTCGGCTACTCTCAATAGCCATATAAGTTCATATAAGTGTTTTGTTCGTGGGCCGGTGCTGCTTTGGGACGTGGTGTGGGGGGTCGCCAAATGGATAAACATGTATGATGTATGCCTTAAGTTGTACATGCACATTGGCCGTCCAGCTCTGTATGTGCGAAACTATAGGGCAAGTAGCAAGTCCTTGCTTGTATTCGGCTCTCGCTTCACTGTCCACAGATGATGTTCGATCTTGAAGCCAAGCGAAAAGTATCACCGCCCGCTGGCAGGCGACGCCAGCTTTTCATTCCGACCACCCCGAGTCTCTGAATGCTTGAACTCTAGTTTTTGGACCTGGTGTGACTTTGCAGGGACGTGAGAGAGAATCTATTGTATTGTCGTATCGCTGTTGTTCAAGGGTTGTTGTTGCTGCCAGGTCGATTTGCTACTTGCTTATTTCGTTGTGCAGGCTCTTTCTTCCTGCTGAAATCATGTTCGGCTGCTTGTGGACCATGGCTTCGAGGGCTGGTTCGTCCCTGAGCCCCATGCCCTGACTATCGCGGCCGCAAGACACAACAGGGCACTTGGCTCTGAACCGAAACCCCCGCACCTGACTCTTTGGGAGGTCGGGTCGCCGTTCCTTGACATAGGCCTCACACTGAGAGCTCGGCGGCCCGGGATTCTGCTTCTCTGTCATACTATTGATGCCAACTAGAGTTTGCGGAGTTCTGTACTAACTGTTTTAATTGTAGCTGGCTCATGCTGCAGTTCTTACATCTTCGCACCGCTGAGCATGATGAGATTTACGATTACAGGGCTGCTCCAGTGTTTCGGAACATGTCTTGAGAGTGGTCAGTCGATCACATTCCGTATGTTCCCCTGCATGTGGGACAGAACTTCTTGCTGGTGATCGTGGTAACTTCCCAAACGCCAAACAAAGGCCTCTTGAAACCTTCTCAGTCCTCAACGTTTCTGGGTCCGGGATCCCGAGTCTTGTAGTGCGTAGGCTAGTGCACCAGCAGGCATCCCAAGACAAAGCCCGAAGTTACCAGGATCCCACAAAAGCTTTGTTTTGCGCAATTGTTGCAAATGCCCTGGAATTAGACTCTCCACCACGATTATGGGGCCAGATACCCAAGCACTAGCGGCCTTGTCAGACGAAGGTACGTGGCCCAGGCAACCGGGACCTGCAGTGTGCTGGGGTTGAGGATCCAAGAACTCGATACAGCATCTTTAGTATTGTACTAAGTGCTGTGCTAGTAGTGGTAGTACTGTAGTATTATTTTTATTGTTACTAGTAGTAGTAGTAGTAGTAGTAGTAGTGGTAGTAGTAGTAGTAGTAGTAGCAGTAGCAGTAGCAGTAGCAGTAGCAGTAGCAGTAACAGTAGCAGTAGCAGTAGTAGCAGTGTCAGAAGCAGCAGCTGCTGCAGGTGACAGTAGTAGTACGAGGAGCAGTAGTAGTAGTAGTCGTCGTCGTCGTCGTAGTCGCAGTCGCAATCGCAGTAAAAGTAGGACTAGGAGTAGGAGTAGGAGTAGGGGTAGGGGTAGGAGTAGGAGTAGTAGTAGTGGTAGTAATAGTAGTGGTAGTAGTGGTAGGTGGTAGTAGTAGTAGTAGTAGTAGCAGCAGCAGGAGTAGTAGTAGTAGTAGTAGTAGTCGTAGTCGTAGTAGTAGCATTGGTAGTAGCAGTAGTAGTAGTAGTAGTAGTAGCAGTAGTAGTAGTAGTAGTAGTAGTAGCAGCAGCAGGAGTAGTAGTAGTAGTAGTAGTGCCAGCAGCAGCAGCAGCTGCTGCAGTTGACAATAGTAGTAGGAGGAGCAGTAGCAGTAGTTAGTCTTCTTAGTGGTCTCCATCGAAGCGAAAGCCATAGGCATAGTCGTCGTTGTCATCGTAATCGCAATCGTAACCGTGATACTGGCATTGGGAGTACCAGCACTAGTTATCGCACAAGAAATAGCAATCGTAATTGTCATCGTTATCGCAACTGTAATTGAAAATAGCAAAAGCATGTAGAAAATAGTAAGTAGGGTCATAGGTATAGCCATAGCCATACTCATAGCCATATCCTATCATTGGTGGTGGTGGTGGTAGCAGCAGCAGCGGCAGCAGTAGTAGTAGTAGCAGTAGTAGCAGCAGGAGTAGTAGTAGTAGTAGTAGTAGTAGCAGCAGCAGCAGCAGCAGTAGCAGTAGTAGCAGTAGTAGCAGTAGTAGTCGTCCTCGTAGTAGCAGTAGTAGTAGCAGTAGTAGCAGTAGTAGTAGTAGTAGTAGTAGTAGTCGGAGTAGTAGTAGAAGTAGTAGTAGTAGTAGTAGTAGTAGTAGGAGTAGTAGTAGGAGTAGTA